GGGCGCGGCGCCGGCCCTGGTGGCCGCGGCGGCCGCCTCGGTGCGGCAGAGCCCGGCGCCCGCGCTGGCGCGCCTGGAGGGCCGCGAGTTCGAGTTCCTCATGCGGCAGCCGAGCGTCACCATCGGCCGCAACTCGTCGCAGGGCTCCGTGGACCTGAGCATGGGCCTGTCGAGCTTCATCTCGCGGCGCCACCTGCAGCTCAGCTTCCAGGAGCCGCACTTCTACCTGCGCTGCCTCGGCAAGAACGGTGTCTTCGTGGACGGGGCCTTCCAGCGGCGCGGCGCGCCCGCCCTGCAGCTGCCCAAGCAGTGAGTACCGCCCGCGCCTGCCCGCCCTGCCTGCCCTCGGGCCACCGCGACGGCGACCCCTGCCGGCGTGGACCCCGGCCTCCTCCAGACCCCGCCCGGCCTGCTCCCGGGCCACGGCGACCGCGACCCATGCCAGCCTGTCCCCCGGGGCCACCGGGACCCCTGCCGGCCTGCCCCCCGGGCCACCGCGACCCCTGCCGGCCTGGAGCCCGTGTCCTCCCGACCCCGCCTCGTTGGGTCCCGGGGCCACCCTCGACCTCAGTCCCTACGTCCTGAGCCGTGAGGATCATCCTCAACGTAGCCTGTTCTAGACCCCCAGGGTCACTCCTGAACCCCCGCCGGCCTGGACCCCAGAATCACTTGGTCCCTATTCCCGCCGGCCTGGACCCCAGTGGTGACCCCGAACCCCGCCTGTCCTGGGTGTGGGGATCAGCCCCAACCCAGCCTGGCCTGGACTCCCGGTGTCACCCCCAACTCAGCCTGATCTGGACTCTTGGGGTTACCCCCAGCCACTCTCACTGGTCTGGGCCTCAGAGCCACCCCGGTCCCCATCCCCGCCGGCCTGTCCCGGGGCCCTGTGCCGTCGAGTGTGGCCACGGGGCTGCATCTTGCGGCGGGAGGGTGTCGCTCGGGAAATGTGGGGTCCCCGGGGGCAGCGGCACCCGCAGAAGACCCAAGGCCTGGGGTCGGAGCCCCGGGCAGTAGGGCCGGTCTGAAGGGTCAGAGGCTCGCGGGGAGGGGCCGGGATGGGAAGCGCCTTGCTTCAGTGAACCTCGCAGACACAGCAGGGAACGTGGGGCACCTTTATGAGCTGCTCACACGGGGCAGTGTGACCCGGAGCTGGACCAGGCGCTTCAGAGCACAGACTCCCCAGGCCGCCCCGCTCCCTTGTCCCCTTCTTTCCAACTCCACACTCCTTTCCCCACCCCAGCTCTGCCGGCAGAGATCCGGGATCTCAAAATCTGTTGACCAGGAGAAAGCCTATTTAATTACTCATTTCCTCAGTAGGCACTTTCTTTTTCTATTTAGTAATTGCTTCTAACGCCTCACTAGTGTTTATATTTTTTCAGTGTGGTTTATGTGCAAGAGTTGTCTTTGACTGTCTAATTACTCTCTTTTATAAGTGCCTTGCGTCCAGGGAATTTTTTGCTGGGGTAATTCCCAGAGCTCAAAGTTCGTTTCTGTAAACTTTTTCCCTTTCTAGGGTCTTGGCATGTTTGGTTATAAATATATGGAATAATTTTTAAATGCAACATCAACAATGAATCAGTCCCACTTAGCGAGTGAGAGGGAAGGTAAACTTTCATTTTCCAACGTGAAAGGTGTGCATTTCAGTGAAATTAGGACTCTGCAAATGACAGAGTTACTCTGTGCCTCAGTTATTTCTCTGTTCTGTTTTTTCCATAAGCCACCCTCTCCATTCTGGGCCATGAAGTGCACTTCCTGGCCAGTGTCTCTAGTGAGAAAATGACAGGTAGACAGCACCCGCCCCCAACCTTCCCTACTTAGAGGCTTGTTCTGCCAGAGCACTTTTACATAATTCAGGTTCTGTAAGTGCTTTGATTAAACAATTTTGCTTTTGGGGTTTTCTGTCCCAGCCATTGAACAGGTACACTCCTGACTAGGGCTCAGCTTAGTGAATCTTGAAGGAGGCTTTCACACTAGTATTTTCTCTAACTCAAGGGGAAAAAATTTCAACCCGCAGAGTTCTCAGGTCATCTACGGAATAGGCCAGTACCAAGTCTGTTATTTATGAGATGTTATTGGTATACATGGCGCCTTGCACATTTATACTACAAGGAGCCCAAATTCTTAGTGGGTGCATTATGGAACATTGTGGGAGCTGGCAGGCTGAACAATTGCCCAGTGTAGATGCACATGAAGTGCTTGCCCCATGGTGCCCGTCTGCCTTTATCTGACTTCACCTGTGCTTCTGAGCAAGACCCATGTAGACAGTGATGTAAAATTTACAAGAACAGAGCAAATGTGCCAAAGGAAAAACATTAAGTGGGGTGTCCATGTCTACCCTCCTAGAGAGATGCTGTTTGCTTCCGAAAGCTGTAGATGCCTGTCAAAAACGTTTAGCAGTTCGAGTGGTTTCACATTGTTTGTTATTTTAGAAAACTTAAACCTAAGTAGTCACATACAGAGAATGGGCCGTTGTGAACTTCTTTTTTAGAGTTAGGTCAAGGTTCTGCGGCCTATCTCATTGAAAGTAATCAAGAAATTTTAATGAATTTAAGAACAAGGAAGTTTGCTGCGTAAATTTTTGTCACCCAGAAATGGGAAATTCGTTATTGAATGTCATTAAAAGAATGTCAGTAATTATTGTGTCTATTTTGTCTCAGGCCTTGGTACCCAGTGTTGCCATTAATATTTGAAGTTTTGAATTTCTCCACCATAAACTGCAAGTTCTCGTGTTGGAGTTCTCGAATATGCCTGGCTTCAGTGGAGATTTTATGCTGTGTTGGCTCCCTCACTGTTTCCCAAAGCCTTCTTCACCACCCCTAGGGACAGGTGACAGCCACGTTGCTGACATTTGCACGCACCACACACTGCCCTGTACAGCTCCCACTCAGAATTTACCACCAGAATTTACCCCCATTTGTTCCTAGAGGTATATCTTCCCAAATCTTCAATATTTTTAATTATCGATAGGAACAAAATGACCTGTGGCCCAGCTTAGGGCCGATCTTGCTGTGCGGCAGTGTCTCCCGCAGGGGTGGGGAATTACTCGGAGCCACCAGCCAGGGGAGCGCGCTGTTTCTGATCCAGGTTTGCCTTGTCTTGACTTGGTGGAACTGTGCGGACCACACTTGTAGCCTTTCTTCTAGCTGTGAGCTCCCTGCATCTGGGGCCGAGAATTTATCTTTAACCCAGAGACTTAGCGCAGCATCTGCCTAGCAGTAGGTACGCAACGACTGACTTGGGTCTGTTGAATGAACAGATTAATGACAATGAATTTGAAGCTTCCATAGGAGCAAAACGATGTCATTGATTCTGACTCGTTTCCTAAAATGGACAGTCAGCATGGCCTTGTGAAATTGGGACAGCCTTCTTTGGTTTACAAGGTGGGTGTGAGGGTTATGTGTGTGTATGTAAATTATCCAATTCAAAATTCAAAACGTGTTTTACTCGTGAACTTAAAGAAAAGACCCACACATACCCCTCATTTGCTCTTCCCTCTTTTTCTGCAACCTTTTTTCCCCGAATGCCTTTATAGTAAACATGGATTACTTGAATAATGACAATGAGAACAAGACTTCTATTGGTGGTAGCTTTCAGTGGTAAGGTTTATATGGGCACCTTTTTTTTTCCCCTTATACTTTTTTGTGTTTTCTAAATTTTCTGCAGTGAGCCTGGTTTTTTTGTTTTAATACTTTTTATTATGGAAAATTTCAGACATAAACAGAGTAACGAACTTCCACATACCTGTCACCCGGCGTCAGCAGTTGTCAACTCAAGGCCAGGCTTGTTTTACCTTCATCCCCCTAATCTTCCCCTCTTCCCCCCAGTTATTTGGAAGCAAATCACAGGTGTCATCTCATTCTGTCTGTAAATATTTCAATTTATCTCTAAAAGATGAGAATTCTTTTCTAAAAACATGGTGGGCACAGTGACTCATGCCTGTAATCCTAGCACTCTGGGAGGCCAAGGTGGGAGGATCTCTTGAGCTCAGGAGTTCGTGACCAGCCTGAGCCCTAAGCAAGAGCGAGACCCTGTTTCTACTAAAAACAGAAAAAATTAGCCAGGCATGTTGGCACACGCCTGTAGTCCCAGCTACTCGGGAGGCTGAGGCAGGAGGATCAGTTGAGGCCAGGAGTTTGAGGTTGCTGTGAGCTAGGCTGATGCCACTGCACTCTAGCCTGGGTGACAGAGCGAGAGTCTGTCTCAAAAAAAAAAAAAAAAAAAGAAACTTAACCACGATGTCATTATCACACCTAAGTGATGAATGATAACTTCTTACTGTCATCAAATGCTCAATCAGTGCTCAGTTTCCCTTCCTGTCTTCGCGATTTCTTTTCTTACCAGTGTGTTTATTTGAGTCAGGATCGAGTTAGGTCCAGATCTGGGGACTGGTTGATGTGTCTCTTCATCTCTTTTCATCTCCAGGCTCCATCTCGCCCTCTTTTTTCTCAGGACTCATTTGTCCTGTGTAGTTTCCCGCACCTGCTTTTACAGATTGGATTCCGGCGTCATCCGTTAGATACCTGCTCTTCCCTGTCATTCCTGTAAATTGGTTGTTAGAACCAGGAATTGTAACAGACTCAGGTTTGATTTTTTTTTTTTCCCCAAAACTGCCTTGTAGGTGGTGTTCAGCATGCATCTGTCAGGAGGCAAAGATGCCTGGGTGTCTCCCTTTTTGTAATAGTAGCAGCTTTCGATGGTCATTGCCTAGGTCCCCTAATGTGTTTTTCACCTGTGCTTCTTTGTAGTTCATTTTGGCTGCAGCGCCAGGCACTTGGCTGTGCTGACGCGCTCCGCCCGCTGAGAGACACATTGTGAATGACGGATGTTACGGATCACAGCTTCTGCATGTGTGCCATGAGTAAAAGTCATCAGTTGTAACCACCAAAGCATGTTACTACATAAATGTTTTAGGCCCTCTAGAAACATACAGAACATAGTTTCTCATTGCCGTCTCCAACAGGTCACTTGAAGAATATCAAATTTATTATTAACAAATTGATATTTATTGATAAAATACATTTATTATCATACAAGTTACCAGATTGACATTATTTTGAAATTAATTGGGAAATGGGCCATACTTAGTGAAGACAGCAAGTACGTGTTGAATGCCCCCACTACCTAGCATCTGGGGGACAGTCACAGCGTTCCTTTCCACCTGGGGGCCCCGCCCCCATCACTCCTCTTGCCCAGTCCCAAGAGAACTGCGGGGTCCTTAAGTGACCCGGTGCCGGGATCGTGGTTGGTTGGTGCAGGAGTGGGCACATGTGCTGAGCTGGGTTTTGCACTGAGGACAGGAGAGGGTGTCA